AAAACTGTTTGAAGTCCTCTCAATCTGGCTGGAATAAATGACAGGCATAGTTTGTCTTGTGTGTTTTTGTAGATGGGGTTGCTCAGGTTCCTGTAATGGTGATTTTTTTTTGGAAAGTGTACACGGCTAAGAGATAAGCAGTCAAAATACGATTTCTGAGAGCTCATTAAATTTAACAAGAAAGCATACATGAAAAACAAGCTATTTTTACACTACATTGAGGACTATCTAGTTCAGGTATCCTGTGGTCTCTCTATCTTGTTTGCAATTGATCTAATAAGATCTCATAAGATCCTTACTGTTCTACAAAAAATACGACCATACAATATTACACCCTCCCTGATTCCATGCTGCTATATAAGTCAAGTATAGCCTCTCAACGTCGCTATTAACAAGCCCTTCAAAGATCTTATCCCCGAGCAAACCAATATGGCAATTTTCCAAGCTGAAACTATCAATAGAGTTCTGAAGTAGAGTGTACACCAACACAGGATACTCATAACCTGCTGTCAGGGTGAGGTTTTCTACAGGTTCTGTTAGGAAAAAAAATACATCATATGCAGGATTTTTCGAAAAGTGGGATTATCACTTCCTGTGGATGGAAGTACCAATTCTGAGTTAGATATTGAGGGCTTTTCTGGGCTGGAGATTGGGAATTGGAGGGAGGATATTAGGACTGCACCTACCGAGGCAGACATTTCTGTGGCCGAAGATGAAAACATTGATGTAGAATTTATAGATGCCTGAAATTCATCTTCATCAAGTATTGGTAGTCAGGTACTCTTGCTACTGGACAAGTATATTTGTTAGAAATACCCGGATCTGATACCTAGGAGTCACTCTAAGTAGGGTAACCTCACTCGGAATCGGAATCTCTGGTCTCCAACTCCCCGCTTCAGCCCCCTTAAGGGGCCTGCACATCATCATACATATCAATCTCAGTTGCATCCTGTGACTATAATACCAGAAGATTGAAGATGTCAGAATAACACTGTATACGTCACTGCCATCTATCTGACTAGATATTGTCCATAGATTATATGAGATGGGCCCTTTGGCTAGGTCTGGAAAGTGGAACGGGGTAAATCCATCAACTACCCAGGGAGTTACTAGGCTACGAATATGTACCATCATTGATATGGGCTATAGGTAACGGGACATTTTTGCACGAAGAGATGGTATCAAATGGTATATGATCTTAACAAGAGACCAATACATTCACATCCACCCTACAATAACCAAAAGAGTCTAGAACTTGGAGGGACACTACCATGGAAGCCAATAGACTTCACAGAGTGTTATAATTAGGTTTCAAAATAAGTTATAGCTGTGGGGATGACTCCTACTACTATAACAGTTATAGAATCCCTATTATCCAGAGCAACCAAGCATTGGAGACTAAGGGAATATTTGCCAATCCAGTGGAATAGCTTTCTGCAAATTAGTAGGAAGTTCTCTGTAAGATATCTATCAGTTGGGTAAGGAGTTATGAAGGTTTGAACTCAGGTGACATAGAAGAGTTGCAATTATAACTACCTTCGCAGATGCAACCCGCAAATAAAACTGATCATTTCATAAATGACGGAGATAATTGGGGCCAACTCAATTTGACTTGAGAACTAGGCCACAAGTCTAAAAGACTCTAATGATCAGATAACTACTATTGGGAACAGTATGATTCCAAATTAGTTATATCATAATTAGCAAAGAGGGTGTGGTGATTTTCAGGGTCTCCAGGTATTCGCACCTGTTAAGAATACCCGACGTTGCGAGTTATAATAAGAGAGGTACAGAGTTGTATAATAAATAGATGTAGTCCACGAATACTCAGACGCGGAATATAAATATTGCAGTACCTTCCAAGCTTTAGACATTATCAAGCAACGGAGAACAGACCTTAACAATATAATATTGTTTTTATGATTCTATCTTACTTTACCAAATTTACTTTGCTCTTAGTAGTCCTAAGTGAAATGAGTGAATTTGAGCCTTCCTAGATAATCTCCGTCTACAGAAACAAATCTTGGTTGGCCCAGACAATTCTGAAGTCTATCAGATTGTCTCCGCCTAACAATATTAATACCCATAAAGTTGAAATTATAAGACACAGTGTCACCTTGTCGCTTATCATTTCCCTAAATAGCCAGCCAAGATATTGCGTACTCCCCTGCCATAGCACGCCACACACCGGCCCGAGACGGCGGATTTCAAGAGTTTTTATACTATGATATCACTACTACTATCAAAAGCGGGGATCAAAATGTTGAACCTTGGTGTCTCAGAGCACGTCAGCACAGTGTGTCACATCCCTGTCGTGTGTCACATCACCGCTAAGTACGTTAGATGGGATTTACACCTGCAGTCAGTATAATCCTGAATTAAAATTTTTGGACAATAGCTGATATCCGAATCTATGCTTGGAAGTCATGGCAATCATATAACGTACACTGTTATTCTTAGAATTTCTCCCAGAGCCAGCAGATGCACTAATGCTGTTGTGCAGCTCCTTGGAAAAGCGCTTCTCGCGGCTTTTCTAATCACCAGTCAGTTTTTTAACTGCGACGAACTTGATTGCTGTGCTAATGAACTCATTCGCGGCAGTAGCTGCCAATTTATAAGAGGGTAATTGAGATCCTACCCTTGCTCCTGATCAAAACTAATAAAGCAGAGCATCAGGTTCTCGTCATCGTAAACACACCATAGCTGGTGAAATCCGATAGTCTATCATGATACATGGCGCCTCGTGACCTTTTCGGCTAGATATTTGATCCTTTACGCCATGTTATACCGTTCCGTCACTTTCTCCAGCTGATTCACTCCCAAATTTAGAAGGATTACACCTGATGGCAAACACATAGGACCACCATCACCTGTTCTCGATCTACCCCAACACCCGGAAGAACAATAACTCCACTCAAGTTTGACAACCCGGATGGCCGCGGCAAGAGGTGCTGGGGGCGGCGCCACAGACCTTTCGCTAGGGTGAATGGTGCTATCGAGAATCGGGAATCTAGAGGAGATTACGCAGGATATGAAGCTCATTCTTCACGGGATATAGACGCTGAAGGATAAGGGCAAGGAGATGCCAGGGAGTTTGCCCGATGAGGAGCTTGAGAGGATCAATCAGGTATAGAAGCAGGAATGAGGGAACTACTTCAAATGATTGTATCTCTCATTGACCGCTGGAATCTTGGCTTCTTACCATCGCCACGGCGGGGTGGCGCTCTTAGCTTTTTTGCACAGATATCAAATTTCACCCGGAGATGATGGGTCCCACCAGGATAAAACGCGAACCAATTCGGAATCATGCGCAAAGCTCTCAACAGCTAGGTGTTTTATAACTCAGGCGTCGGGATATCTAGGCTAATTCCCACCACTACCACACTCCTGGATAGTAACTGCCTATTATGATATCATAGCCCACGTGGCTGTGCCATCCAAGGTGAAATCGTCGCCAGATCTAAACCCCACTGCGGGCATCGACTAGCAAGCGCGACCACAAGACCAGAGACTCGTTCAATCGCTGTTCACAGTAAACGAGTAGGCCGGGTGCTAACTAACCTGGATCTTTCCTTTTGAGTACATACCAGGGTATAATGTATGAGCACCTGTAGCTTAGAGAATGGCGCAATGTCGTAAAGTCTGCCTTGCTTTTTCTTTCTTTCTTTTCTTTCACAAGTGTACTATGCTTGTACTGTCCTATAGTGTGCCGAGCAGCTCCAAGAATTCCAACACTATATGGGACCCATCTCCACTAAAGAACTCCACTGCTATGAGTCTGTCCTACCCCCCTCCCAAAAAAAAAACCCCCCCGAAGAACTATAGGAGCTCAAAGTACCCTACTAATCCAGGTTCCAAATATGATACCAGTATTGGGCTTGGTAAGATGTGGGTGAGATGATACTATGCACAGCAATCCTGTCCTTTCATCTAACATGTATGATGGTACAGTGCTCTCCCCCTGTAAACCCACCTCGGTGGGTCAAGCTCCATCTCTTCTACTCGAGTATTTCCCTGACCCCAATTTTTCACCTTTCTATTTAGGAAGGCGGTCACGGGGTAAAATAACAGACAAACTTTCACGTACAAGACCGAACTTGGAGCTGCATAGCCTTATGGAATGGACCTCATCGTGAGACAAAATCATGGTTGGCACCCCACTGCTAACTATCATAGATAGCGCGAGTATTGCACGGTGTGAATTGGGCATACATTAGCATACTTACATCTGAAAACCACACAGCACCGCACAAGCAAATCACTAAGGGGACAAAAAAAATGACTGCATATCATTACCCTCCCTACCTTCCTACCTTACCAACTATCACTCCACGCCCAACAGCTAAAGTAGAAAGAGAAAGAAAAATAGAAAGGAAAAATCCTAGACATATATGATACCAACAAACGGTCAGACAGACAGACAAGCAAATAAACCCCCTCACTTGCTCACCCACTTCATAGCCCTCACTACAACCCTATATACACCCCCACAAACCCTCAATCGACCGATCGACCAATCTAGCGAGCAGTAATCCACCACCTCACCTCGGTAAAGCAATTAGGAAGGAAGGCAATTCCAATCACCCGCCCAATTCACGGACGGAGTTGCACGAGAAAAGGAAAGATAGTAAGAAGTAAGAGTACAAATAAGAAAACACTAGACATTTGGGCAGGGGGAGCTTTTTTCCTTTTATTTTGTTTCGCAAGTAGGCGTTCGTGAATGGGATGTACAGTACTAACTACAGGATAGGTAGGATGGGAGATGAGGGGGATTTTGAAATGAAGAGAGAAAAAAAGCAATGGAACCCCGGATAGAAAAGGAGAAAAAACGAGAATAAAATTGGCGAAAACGAGGAGGGAAACAGGGGAGGAATTAGTAGTAGGAGGTTTGCTTTCATCCCTTTTATTTTTTCCAATCGAGGGAGATAAGATTGTGAGAGGTTATAACACCAAGGAGGAGGGAGAATGGGAATGAAGGTACATAGGTGAGGGAAGAAGAGTGGGGGGATAGAGGGAGAGGTTATATTATTCATCGTCGGCGTCAGGCATTTCTTCATCCCCGTCTCCGTCTAGGGGTACGTCAACTTCGGGATCTAGTTCCGACTCCTCATCCGAAGATTCTGCTATTTTCTCTAGGTCTTCCGGCTCCTCTGGGTCATGTTCTTCTTCTCCTTCATCCTCGTCCTCGCCTTCATTCTCCACATCTTCAGCAACAGGTTTGGAAGGAGATACAGCTTTAGGTCTCGGGGTAGCCTCCACATCTTCATCACCACCCCCCTCGTCAACGACCACCTCACTAAGTTCCTCCTTCCGCCCCCTCAGTTTTCTAACGACCGGCGCGACCTTGGGCTTCTCTTCAACCTCCAAGTGATTGACGATTTCCCGGAAATTTGGCCCCAGCCGGCCCTTATTCCTGACAAGCCTCTTCATGAAAACCCTCTCATCGATTGCTCGTGACAGAACCGCAAGCACAAGTTTCCCTGTGAAGTCGCAAAGACGCTGCTCGTGCAGGAGTACGTTGCTCTCGCCCCGATCCTCCGATGAGGGCTGTTGTTCGTCGTCGTCTGCGGGTTCGTCATTCTCGCCGGGCTCAAGGGCCTTAAGGGCTACGTTTGCGAATGACTTTTCCAGAATTTCAAATATTTTAAGGAGGTCGGTTTGCACGGACTTGTCCAACTTCTTACCAAGCGCTGATATTCGCACTGCTAGCTCAGAGGCTCCGGAGGTGCCGGCTTCGTCTTCATTGGCGGCGCGATTGTGGTCGGGTTTACTGGCGCCGATGCGGGCCCCTGCGCCGATGAAAAGTGTTGCCAGACCTAAGATTGCGGTACCAGAGGTGATTTTCATAGCATCAACGTTTTTTCCGCGTCTTTGTAATTTCGATGATTCTCTCCATTACCGTTTCACCCCTTGTCGCGAGCTTGTCGGAGTCAATGTCCTCCTGGTCTGCAAGGGTGCTGATCTTCCACATGAAGTAGAATTCTAACGTTTTCATCGTGCGGATGATGAGCTCTTCTTCGAGCTCGTCTGACGTACCGCCGCGCCTGAGGAGTTCTATTAGCGCCTCAACGGGTTGGAGCATGTCCTTGGGCCCAGAAGCAACGGGGGGCTCCTCCATTATCTCCACACAGTTTGTTATCGACGCAATGTATTCTAGTCTGCGAACGGTGTTTATTAGCTCTGTTAAACTTGCGTCGCTGAATTTGCCTTTGCCGAGATTTTTTCCTCGAACGGCATTTACAAGCATAGTGACGGTCTCATCCTTGAGTTGGCTGAGCTTTTGTTCTGTAACTTCGTCGAGCTCTTCAAACGTTTTGGCATGAAGAATTGCTGCGCTAGCTTCTTTAAGAACGGACTCGTCGGCATGAGTAAGGAATTGCCGATTTATCTCCTCGAGTAAGGACGCATAAACGGTCGATTGGCGGAGTTCCTGGAACACATCGAGCTTCATCAATTGCTCAAGGCGCAGAACAGAGGCGGCCGCGTCTGGATCTGGCCCGAACTTCTTGAGAAGAGGAGGTATATACTTGGTTAATCTCCTAGAGACCGCCTCGTAATGCTTCTCAATTTCCTTGCCGGTGCGCTGTGATCGAATCAGCATAAGAACTGGGGGAAGAGTGATGATATACCTACCTTGGTAGTGCCTTTCTTTCTCGCACCTAATTCACCACCTTCATCAATACTGGCGGCAACACTGGCGTTCAATATATGCAGCAATATGGCCTCCTCTCTAGGATCTAAAGCGATAGCACTCTTAATTCGCTTCTCCACATCCTCTTCCTCAACTCCTGGATCAAGACGATTGGCCGAGTGGTCATAAAGTAGATATCTTGCAGTGATTTCCCAATCGTGAATCTCCTCAACCTCCTCCCAAAGAGAGCCTCCGGCAAGAGAGAACCGACTCTCTATATGATCGCCAAGCCTTGTAACAGCACCGTTACTCCTCTCAGCAACCTGGGACTGGCCATCTGGATCGTCCCCTGCATCCTGCGAATCATAGGAAGCCAGCGCCTCCACAAGACATTTTAATCTGATCCAGCCGAGGGTGGGTCCTTCGTAGTTCTCGTCTTCGGTATCATCCCCCAGCGCTTCCTCAACGGCCTCTTCCCCGCCAAGGTCCCCTAACCTTTCTTGGAGGACATCCTTAAGGTTCGCGACAAAGAATCCAACAACCGCGCGACGGACTTTGGGCTCGGAATCAAATAGTAGTCTACCAACGGTATCGATATCGGAAGGCTCAAGATAACCCGCTTCCCTAACAGCGTCTAGCAAGTCCGCTGCTGCGGCTCTAACGTTAGTATCCGCATCTCGCGCTGCCATCTCAACCATTCTCGGCCGGAAGCGCTCGGTAAAGTGCCTAAGGTTTGATATTGATTCTTTTTTCTTGAAAAGCTTAGTAAGCGCCTTCACGACTTCGAGACGAGTCAATGGGGTTGTGTCAGAGAGAACCCAGCCAAGGTATCGAAGATAGGAACCATCAAAGAAGAGGTCTGGCAGAGTCAGAATCCATGAGCCGAGCTCACGGACACAATCAGAGCGGATTTTAGCATCGATGTCGCGATACCGATGAACGAAGACACTGAAAAAAAAAAAAAACACATCTTAGTAAGATCCTCCCCAATTATAACCTCGAAAATAGAACATACATGTTGAAAATATCCTTAATCACGGTCTCTATCGCCTCCCTTCTCTCTTCGCCATCCTTTAATTTCTGATCGAGCGCTCTAATCCGACCCTCATTGCGACTAGACTTTTTCTTTTCGGCCTCAAGTTGTCTGTTTGTCGTGCTGTTGGCTTTTCTCGCCTCTGCCGCGATTTGCGCAAGACAACTCACAAACTCTAGCGCCACGATAGTAGAGGTGTGTCGGAACTGCCTCAGCGTCGAAGAGGACATAGCAGTTATCCATACTTCAATCCCTTCCATAAGCCCAGGATCGGAGTATAGAAGTTCTCGGGCGGCGAATGTAGTGATTAGAGAATGGAGGAAAGAAGCAAGAATCGGGCGAAATCGTCTGAATTCGGGCTTTTTGGACGCAAGAGGATATTCAGCGTTTTTTTGCTGGAGGAAGCTTTAGTTAGCAGGCAGTTTTTATAATGATGAGTTATACGGGGAATTAACTCGTTGGAAAGCATCTTGGATTTGTGAGAGGGTAGTATTTGCGGTATCTTGATCTTCAATGTCGTAGTCGGTGACAAATTTATGGCAGCCGCAGCACTATCGTGGTGATTAGGTTAGTTTCAGTTAGTTCATACAGAACAAGCTAAATGGGGGCCGTGGGATGGCACACTTTAAGAATAAAATTAACCAATTCCTTCATAGCCTCTCGACTATTCTCCTCATAATTGATTGTCCACGCCTGCGCGACATCATCGTCATCACCCCCTTCAAACACCGATTCTGCGCCACAGTAAGCATCACCCTACAATCGCCAACGCGCCAATGCCGAAACAAATGAAGTCTTCGGGAAATGGAAATATTCCTACCGTAGAGATCATTATGCGCGGATTCCTCCTCCTCCTCCTCCTCATTATCGTCATCTCCATTCGCAGCCTTTGGCGACGGCTTCGCCACGGCCTTGCCCTTTGCCCGCTTAGCCTGCTCGGTGGTTGCTTTCCTAGCGGGGGGAGCGACATCGGCGGCAATTGATGTTCGTGGTTTCTTGGTAGGTGGCCTCTTGACGGGAGCACTAGCAGCACGATCTCCGCCACCATCTCCCCGTCCTCCAGCGCCCCTAGCCGCAGCGGCATTCTTTCTCCTCCGATCTTTTTTCTCCTCTTCATCGGGTTCGCCTTCATCCTCATCTTCCTCGGAAGATTCCTCAGTAGTCTCTGCTTCACTATCCTCCTCCTCTCCTTCATCATCATCATCGTTATCATTCTCATTTTCAGCACTTCCACCTTTGTCTTCCTCGTTTTCACCCTCCCCTCCTTTTCCACCTACATCTTCCTGCCCTACCTCCTCCTCCACCTCCTCCTCCTCTTCCTCCACAGGCCGCTTCCGCTTCGCTCGTGAAGGCTTTGGTGGAGTTAGTTGTAAAGAGTAGGGTAAAATTGGCTTCTTGATAACCCTTGTAGAGCGGCGGGGGTTTCCCGTTTCTGCACCATTCTGCGTGTTGTCATTGCTCCAGGCGAGTGTTGCTACTACTCCGGCAGCGGTAGACGCGTTCTCATCTGTGGCCTCGGCGGCGACGAGGCCGCTATCGCCGGCGACGGCAGTGTCGTCGCTTGTGTCCATTGTGTCAGGTGGAGTGGACGCGATGCGGGAGGGCATCTGTGTGCTTGTTGGAGGGGTGATAAGAGCTTGAGGTGAAATCCTTGTGATCAGATGCGCGTGTGTTTATTTATCATTCGGTTTCTAGAGGGGGTAATGTTTGCTGGAGAGTTGGTGGGTGTCTTATCAACTGCGTAAGTCGCGTGGGAAGAAGAGGGTAGAAGGAAAACAAAAGGAAAAAAATGGGAAACGAGGTTGCTGGATTTGGTTTCGGCGGTAGGTGGCACACCGAAGTGGGTGGGCAATGGTGATGGCAGTGGTGGACGTGTAGAGTGATCCTGACTTGACTTAACCGGTCACCGGGGGGTTGCTCGAGAAAAGAAATGGCGATGAGCTTCCTTTCTCTTACCCTTGAAGAAAATTGGAAATACGAAATGAAAAAACAAAAATAAAAAACAAAAAACTCGCGGTTGGAGATGCTTGAAATTTGTTGAGACTCAATTCTCTCGAGGAATATGTATAGCCCGTAGCAATAATTTCCACCAGAGAACTCTCGATAATGCACAATCGAATTTTGTTTTGAATTCCCTGGGCTTCTTCCGGTAAGGCGGGTAGGGTTAGGGTATGACTAAAAACGCCCAAATCACCGTCACAGCCGCTCACTCACAATTTCTCCTATTTCTTATCCATTTCACGTGACCCACCACTCCCAAGTCAAATCGATGATTCCCCTCTAACTTGATTCCATCCCGACTCTCATCTCCCTATCAGCAACCGCCACCAATGCCAAAACCACCCCCAGCCCCACCGCCACTCACGCCCTCGAAGCCAACTCCTCTCCCCGGCCACGGTTCAATCCACGCTCGCCTCCTGCCCCCCTCGCAGACCACCCTCCCTCACCTCCACTTCACTTACCCGCTAAAACTAATATCCATCCCGTCCCCGCCATCAACAACCAACACTTACCAGACCGTCTTCCAACTGACCTATGGCGGAGGCCTCGTCTCAAACGACCAAGTTTACCTACGCATTGTGTTGGAACCGAGTTCGAAGTTATGCTTGTTAACCCAGGGTAGCACCAAGATATTCAAACAAAAAGTCGAGGGAGATATCGCACGGCAGGCGCTTGACGTGAGGTTATGTCGGGGGGCAAGGTTGTTGTTGTTGCCGGACCCGCTACAGCCATTCGAGGGGTCGGTGTTTTCGCAGATTCAGAGATTTTGGTTGCAAGAGGACGAAGGGGAAGGGGAAGGGGAAGGGGGGATGGTGGTGTTGGATTGGGTCACTGAAGGACGAGCAGCGAGAGGGGAGAGGTGGGAATTGGAGAGGTTTGAAAGTCGGAATGAAGTTTATTGCACTGGTTCTGGGAGGTTATTACTGAGGGATGCGCTCGTGTTAAACTCTTTATCCTCCACCAACACCCGGGAAGAGAGCTTGCGCGGCAAAATGGACGGCCTGGTAGTCTTCGCGACGTTGATAATTCGAGGTTCCGCATTCGAGAGGTTGGCTACTTTTACAAAAGATAAGTTTTCGAACGAGCCGAGGATTGGGGGAAGGAATTTTGACACTGGTGGGAAGGTGGGCGGCGCTAATGGGAGGAAGAGGAGGGATGTGTTATGGACAGTATCGGAGGTGAGGGGGTTTGTGCTGGTGAAGGTTTCCGGCTGGGTGCTTGAGGAGGTCAGAGGTTTTTTGAGAGAGGTTTTGATAGATGGTGGTGATGTGATTAGCGAGTTTGGGGAAGATTGTTTGTTATGTTTGCGGTAGTAATAGTGGGTTATTATGGGATATGGGTGCTAGAGGAGATTGTATATAGACTTGGAAGGGAGAAGGGGAGTTTCTTGCGAGTGTAGATATCCTAGTCGATAGGACTGTAGAGTTATTTGTAGTACATACGGTGGATATTCTGGCTGATAATAATAGCGGAGTAGGTTGCTTGTGGCGCTGGCGGTTTCTATTGTTGAAGTATCATAATAGTCTAATATTCTTTGCATTGCTCGCACTGTGACCGCCGACAATAAACGTGCGCCGTAAATCTACCAATTTGCATGACCACTAACACCTCAAGAACCCGCTTTCTCTATGAGAAAAACAGGAGCCGGTGGGGGGATAGTGCCATTGTTCGAACAAGCGAGTTCAAACATCGGATACCGCACTGTAAATGATAGTTCCAAAGTATCGCACAGCACGAGGCAAGACGGGCAGGCTAGACACCATCTGTCACCAAGATCCCCAATACCGGGTACTGAAAGAACAATATTCGGTCGGATCGGTAATGCGTAAAAGGTACTTGATCGATGAGGATTCAAATGGAGAAGTCGACAAACGAAAAAGGAAAAGTGTAAAATCAAACAATGGTCCACGATCGTTTGGGATAGCACGGTTCTTTGGCTTATTCCCACGTCCGTAATCACAGAGTTGTTTGAATTCACTTTCTGTTCACTCGTATACTCGTTTTCGTAACGTTCAGATTTCGTTGTTGTAGCTCGTTCGTATTCTCGTGGTTTCGCGCGTCGTTGAAAACTTAAGAAAAGAAAGGTGGGAAAGATCCCCTAAGTACAACAAGAAAAATTTCCCTTCTCAACTCTCAAACAAACCCTTCCATCGTGAACAAAACCCTAGAAACCTCTACCATGATAGAAACAGAGTATTCCAAATCGGAGAAGAAATGAATCTGAAATTCCCCCCAGCAGTACTTGAAATATTATCATACATAGCATTTCACTGAGATCAGCTGCTGAGCCCTTTGTGCTCGGATATCTCCACTGCGGGTAGTGAAATAGACCTCACGTCACCTCTTTTCGCCTCTGGTAGATATCTGGTATGCTACAAAGTGTCTGATACTGCAAGAATTCCATGTATCAAGTGTCATACGGAGGGGAGCGTTCTTCCCTAATGGCTATGGCACGAGAGGCTGATAAATGGGTGGGGGAGACAGGTAGGCTGCGTCGCGAACGCTTTTCAACGCACCTCGTCGCAGCGTGTCAATAGGATCTCTATTGGCCTACTTGTATCTGTATCACATTCATCAAGTGATGTGCTGCGGAAACCTACCGTTATTGACACCCGTATCGGGGCACGAGGGAAGAGCGAGCACGATCATTGCGCCCGAGGTGTGAGAGTATGGATACTAGTAGGATACAGGGAGGCAGAAGGGGAAGCAGGTGGATTGCTCCTTTGGAAGTATCAAGTTTCTTGGGAGTACTGGTATGGATGGTGGTTTGCGGGAGCGGTTTACGTGGTAGAGTCTGTGAGGGTTGGAGATGAGGTATAACTCAATATGATTAGGAGTGGATATCAAGCCTGGCCATTCCGCTAGTGGCAGGGCCTGTGCTCGTGATGACCGGTACCATATGGTACAGTATCCTACCTACATTGCAAAATACAAGCACTGTCCCTGCGGTACAGTATCATAGCCACAGGCGTGATCTTGGTTTCACAAGGTCCGGCAAGGATGATTGGGCCAAGTGTCCATCTACCAAGCTAGGCAATGGCGATGAACCCCGCTCTTCTTCAGCTCTCTTGGATTATAATCTAACACCACCATACCTCGTTAAACTATCTACTACAGCATTCCGAGAAGGCAAGAGCAGAAGAATGTCGCAGGACCCTAGTTTCGTTGCCAAGTTCCTTCATAATCCTGATTCCTCGGGACGTAATAACCGTCCTAATACCGATGGCTCCCTAAACAATAATCCTCACTCGGTTGGTAGAAACAACAAGAGCAGCCTCGACGCGAATAATGGCAATTGTCTTAACGCTTGGAACGACATTACCGCCACCTATGACCGGTCCGAAATCCTGGCTTGGTTGTCGCCTCTGGAACCCCACTTACGGCATTATGATGTTCAGCGAAGCCGGGTGAGCAACGTGGGCAACTGGATTTTGCGGACAGAGCAATTCAGAAACTGGTACAGTGGTGATCGCCGTTCTAAATCGCGGAAGGCGGCCATATTTTGCTCCGGCAACCCGGGGGTCGGGAAGACTTGCATGAGGTGAGACACGCAATGTTGGAGAAGGAACAATGGAGGGTCTGTTTTCTGACGAGTTGAAATTTTAGTTCATTGGTGGTAGATACCTTGTGCAATGGGGCCGGCGAGGCTGGAGGGGATATTGCGGTGGCATGTTTCTATTTCGACTATGCGGCCCAAAAGGAGCAGTTCGCAACGGCTGTATTGGGTGCTCTGCTAAAACAGGTTGTCGGTGGTTTTAAGCAAATCCCTAAGGAAATCACCGATGAGTTTCAGAAGCAAAAAAAGGTCATCGGTGGTCGGAAACTGGGACTTGCTGAGATCGTGAAGGTCTTGGGGAGACTGTCGTCCTTGCGGCGCACATTTCTATGCCTCGACGCTATAGACGAATGTGCTACAACAGAGCGAGCCAAGATCCTTCTCTCACTTAAGGACATCATTAGAATGTCCCCAACCACTCGGGTGTTCATGACTGGGAGACCTCATGTCGGCGGTGAGGTGGAAAGACATCTCCCTGGAGGGGTAGAAGTTGTATCAATAAGTCCGCGAAAGGATGACATTATCCAATACATCCATACGAAACTTCTAGAAGACACAACTCCGGATGAGATGGATAAGAGATTAGAGGCAGAAATTCAGAAGAAGATTCCGGAGACTGTCTCGGAGATGTGAGTAGAATTTGTTGATGAGGAACTCTACCCAAGCTATGCGCTAACCAATGTATATGTAGATTTCGGTTAGTCTCTGTGAATCTCAATGCAATTCTGCAGGAGACTAGTATTCGCCGGCGGCGTGAAAGGCTTACTGTAGGGGTGGATGTGTTGGACCTGGAAGGTGCCTACGGCACAACATTAGGTCGAATCAAGGAACAGGATGGCCAGAAATCAAGACTCGGTTTGACTGCTCTGATGTGGGTGTGTTATTCAGAACGGACGCTGGGAGTGGTGGAATTGTGTCAGGCGTTAGCGGTTGAAATTGGATCGACAGATTGTGATACCGGTATTGGCAATGTTTCCTCTATCCGGACTGTTTTAAGCTGCTGCCAAGGGCTTGTCGTAATGGATAAGGAAGGGTCGACTGTTCGGCTGATCCACCGCTCGCTCAAAGAGTATCTGACCAGTCGTCCTCACCTTTTCCAGAGACCTCACTCCGCAATTGCGGAGACCTGCTTGACATATCTGAATTCAAAGCAGGTAATGGCCCTTTCGGCCTCCCGCTCTCAACACACTCAACACACACCCTTCCTCGAATATTCAGCTTTATACTGGGGGGTTCACATGAAAAAGGAACACTCAGATAATGGGAAAATGCTTGCGCTGAAGCTCTTTCGCCGGTACGAGCGTCATATATCAATTAAACTACTCTTGGAGTATACGCTCCGCCGAGAACCTATCCATCATATTGTGGAATTTTGCAAGTTCACTGGACTGCACTGTGCGTCCATGTTCGGACTTTCAGAGGTTTCAATAGCTTTAATAGAGATGGGCGAGGTCGATATAAACGGTGTGGATGATGTGGATTTTACGCCACTCATATGGGCCGCTAGGAATGGACATGATGACGTGGTGCGGCTGTTACTGGGACGGCGAGGGGTCAAACCAAATATACCAGATTTCTTTGGGCGGACAACAATCTCGTGGGCTGCCGGGAATGGACATGGGGCAGTGGTGAAGCTGCTACTGGGACGGAAAGACGTTGACCCCAATAGACCAGATGACTGGGACCGAACACCAGTCTCGTGGGCTGCCGGGAATGGACATGAGGGAGTGGTGAAGCTGTTACTGGGACGGAAAGAGGTCGATCCGGATACACCGGAGCAAACGTGGGGCATGACGCCGGTGATGTGGGCTGCCGAGAATGGACATGAGGCAGTAGTGAAATTGTTACTGGGACGGACTGACGTCAACCTCAATAGGCCAGACGGCGGCGGCCAAACGCCAATTTTTCTCTCTGCCAAGAGTGGACATGAAGCAGTGGTGAAGCTGCTAGTGGGGCGGGAGGACGTCGACTCTGACAAGCCGGACAACGGGTGGGGCCGAACACTGATCTCGTGGGCTGCCGGGAATGGACATGAGGCAGTAGTGGAGTTGTTACTGGGACGAAAAGGCGTTGACCCCAATAGGCCAGATGACTGGGACCGAACACCAATCTCGTGGGCTGCCGGGAATGGGCATGAGGCAGTGGTGAGGCTGTTACTAGGACGTGAGGGTGTTGACCCCGATTTGCCAGACGATGATGGCCAAACGCCGATCTCGTGGGCTACCAAGAATGGACATGAGGCAGTAGTGAAGCTATTACTGGCGTAGGAAGATGTCAACCGCGGTAGGCCTGAGTCCGGCTGGGGTCGGACACCGATCTCCTGGGTTTCTGGAAATGGAGATGACGCTGTGTGAAGATGTTGCAGGGACGGGAAGACGTTGACCCCGATGGGCCACACAAATTGGGTCTTACCGCACGCTCGTATGCTGCTATGATAAAAGGAGGAGTCAGCATGTTGCAATGTATAGTAGGTAAAAAGTTGGCATACCTAGTCATTACGGCCAATTAATCCTGTGTTTTCTTCCTTTTAGCCCTAAGTGTCGCAGCTTTTAGGCTAGTACCTAGGTATTACCACACTTTCTGCCCTTCCCCCTTTGCCATGGTAATCTGGCAAGTATGATATGGGGGAGATTTGTCGCCATGAGAAACCGTTTATACATTCCTCTGGAAGATTCTTTGGCGTTTACTGGGGTAGTTGAATGATGACCCATGACTCTCTCTCCATATTCGCATCCGGTATAATGTAAGTGGAGGTGGGATATTGTGGTCCCGGATTGCGGTTGCGGCGGGAAGTTTCTCATGATTTTTTATATCTGGATTTGACACTGTTTTTTTGTTCATACTAGATTTTGCTTTCTTCGTATTTATCTTTGATATTTGC